TTGATGCAGCACCTCCGCCACCGACAGCCATTTTCTCTGCCTCCTCCTCAACGAGCTTTTGCCTATCCTTTGGACTAAGCATTTTCCAAAAGTCTGATGGGATTGATTCTGGGCGTTTTGACCCTTTGTACGTCTTTACAAGGCGTGTTCCGTCCCAATGATATCCATCCGGGATTGGTGTACCAGTTGGAGTGTACTTGATATCAGGGAAAATTGTTTCTTCAGCCGGTTTGTCTTCACTGGCAAGTGCGTCAAGCACTGCCTCCGATGACTTGTCAATTGCTTCTTCACTTGCTTCAGCATGTTCCTCAGTTTGCAATTCGGATTGAAACGGAATCGGACGAGGATCAGCAATGACATTGTCTGCAAGACGGTCCGGCTTGGGCTCTTTGGCCTCTTTCGATGCACGGAGTGGGAAGACAAAACCTCCCGCGATGAGCTCAACACGTCGTGCTCGCTGCACTGTGATGCTACCAGTTTCCGCATGATAATCCAATGCTTCCAACTTGACAAGATACTCACCTTTCCATGCAAAACCAGGTTGAATGTGGCATCCCAAAAAGATTCCATCATTTGCTGTTGGTGATGTCTTTCCAGATGTGTTGTCAACCCTTTTTGGATTGTTCCAAAACAGTACCTTTGCACCGAAAGGAATCAATTGACCTGGAAAATCTTCTTCGAATCGAAGTTTCCATGGGGCATCATCACCGTTGAGCTGTGGCGTAGCATTCACTGCCATGGAGAAATGCTGCATAGCCATTGGCCGGTACTGCAATGGAAGACCGGACTGCACAAGGTTTGTGCGTGTGCCTTCAAGCATGTGTCGGATCTCCCTCTCCACAAAAGACTTTGAGCTATCCACATACTCTGTTGATGTTTGATGTCTGTACCCCAACTCTGAAATAGTAGCAATGAGTTCTCTTGAATTGTCAGTGTAAACCGCCCCAACTTCATCTTTGTGTGACAAGAAGTGGTTAAAAGCGTTGACACATGATTCACTCGATTTGGTCTGACTTGGATACACATGCCTGAACTGTGTGTGGATGTCCTTCATCACCAATGCCACTGTTTCACCTTTGACGCCTTCTTCCACATTGGACTTGATAACAGTGTGGTCAGCGACAATGTGATCCCCAAAACTCTTGGTTTCCAATCTTTTCTGCCCTCCTTTCTTCTTTGCGGGTGGCGCCATCATATGCGCCTTCTGGCAGATCTTGCAAAATGGATTCTTGGGGTAATGACAAAATTGGTGAGACTTGCTACATGCTTCTGGCTCAAGGTCGGATGCCTTTCTTGACCTGATGTAGTCGGTTTCACTATCATGAGCTACACCCTCATCTACACCTTCTTCCTCGGCACCTTCTGCTTTTGCAGCAACCATTGCAAAGAGACGTAACAAGTCACAATCTTTCTTGAACTGTCCACTGTTCAAAACACGACAAGAGCTATCAATGACCGGCACACGGCCGTCTACGTTCAGCTCAATGACTCCCATGTCCGGACGAATGAAGTAAGGCCTACCATCAGCTGGCCACACAAAACTGTAGCCTTGTTCCATACACCTGACCCCAACCGAAAGAACGGCAGGAGTTTTCTCAAGAATGTATGGTGAGAACGGCTGGTGTAGGGCATCGACCTTTACGTCGGCCACCTCATCCGCACGAGTTGAACCGTTGGCTGTAGCAAGACTGATTGGAGTATCGCTGACACGACGATTTGTCGCCTTTGCAGTCTTCAACATGCCCTCACTGATCAAGTCCTGTTCACTTCCAGTGTCAACCAACCAAACGCATCCATCTTTTGAAGCAGGAGTGGCAACAGTTGGCAAATGAGTGTTGCTGATTTTGTTCTTTGGACCGATCACGGCTCTGCAGTGGTTACATGAAACTCCCCCTTCTGGGTCGTTGCAACGGAATCGGCACTTGGGCTGCACATCACCGCTGAAGAGCTTCACAAGTTCCTGCAACTGCCTGGCCGAAACCTGAGCACGGTGAGCAACGAGTTTGTCAGGCTTTGGTACTGATTCCGAATCGGGGAACGTCTTCTCATAGATTCGGGGTTTGTGTGCTACCTTTCTTTGCTCACCTGTTGCTGGGACTTTGATGTATTCCACTTTTGATGAAAATACAACAGCTCTATGGCATTGTTCTTTCATGGCCTTTGTAGCCTTTGGCAACCCTTTTCCCTTTGCTATGCATGCATACCTTTGAGTGATGCATGGCGCAGCTTTTGCACTGGCCTTCTTCTTTGGTGCAGGGCTATTGGTACGCTTTGGATCCTTTGTGGGTGCAGCTGCAACTTCATGTTTGGAAAAACATTTGTCACCACGACGACATTTGCCCTGTTGAAAGTAAGTGCGTGGGATTTTGGCCATCTCTTCCCTTGACTTTCTGTTAGGGGAGCCACTTCTGCTACCACCTTTGCCCTTACCCTTCTTTTTGGGGGTACCAGATCTTGAGGAATCTTTGACATGCTTGTAGGGACAGTCTTTGCCCTTTTCGCACTTGCCATCCCTAAACTTGTAGCATATTCTATCCCCTTTTCCACTCTGGCTTCGACCGCGGGATCGACCTCGGTCACCTTTTCCTTTGCCACGATCTTTGCCCCCCTGAGCGGGTGCAGCGGGCTGAGGCTTTTCAGTCTGCTTGTTCTTCTCAACGATTCTGTTTCTGTTTGAACGGAGTCTTTCTCTATCCAAAAGATCACGAATGTTTCTCAACAAGAATGCATAAGACTTTTGTTCGGACTTTTCAGGGGCCCTGTCAAATGCTTCAATGTCGTACTTCATCAATTGGCATTTTCGAATTTGTCGGAGCAAAATGTCTCTGAGAACCAAATCATCTGGCGGGGTTTCCATACCGGCGATTGTGGCATCCCATCGGTTTAAAAACCTTCTAAGGTCCTCCACAGATTCCCCAGTGCGAACGACTCCAAGTAGGTCCTCCACACGATAGAGACTCCCGGCTTCCGCAGACGTCCTGAAGTAATCTTCAAACATCAAAAGGACTCTCCTACCTCTGACTTGGATCCCTTTCTTTGACTTTTCATCTTTGAAGTTCTGGATTTTTGTTGCTAAATCACCTTTGGCCGAGCAAGTTAACGCTGCCGACAATTTGGTGTCAAGTGTGATGAATTTCCCAGGTTCCTGCAGCTTTTCTTCTAACTGATCCCTAGGGGTCTTGTTGTCAAAGACTTCATTGAGCCATATCCAAGCCTCGTCGGGTTTGTCAGAGCATGACTTGACTTCATCCCTGACGTGGTTGCGCCAGTGACGATATGCTTCTGGGGCAGGCATGTCGTTCAGTTTGATAGTCTCGGCCTCTTTGGTTCGGGGCTTTTCACCATCTGAATCCTTTGAAGTCAGTCTAGTGATGAGATCTAACAACTGTTGTCCTGAAAGACCTAAGCCTGCATCAGCTGCTTTCTTGCCAGTGTCACTTGCTAATGCTGTAGGACTAGGCACACTTGGTTCTTGATTTTGATCATCATCTTGTTGTCTTTGAACAGGCAATGGTGGCAATTTTGGAGGTACTGCTGATCCGGCAGGGGTCGTTGAGAATAAGTTACTCAATCTTTCTTTTGCGTCCATAGCTAAGCCGCCCATACCAGTGTTTGGCATGGGTTCTGCTCCAGCCTTCGTACCGACCGCTGATTTTGGGGTCATGTACAGGTCAACATTGGTCCCGCCTTGTCCATCATCGACTTCAACGGCTCTGTCAACCTTGATTTCAGGGGCGCTGTACTTGTTGAGCTTCTCCAACAAATCCTCTACTTGTCCCTGTAGTTGATAGTTGAGTTCAGCAGCTTGGTTTTCCTGCCTACTGCATTCCTCTCTAATCTCCTGGATTACAGCTTGTTCCTCCTTCTTGAAACCTTCCATGCCATTCTTTGCATACTCCACTGTTTCATCCACGATTCGTTTACAGTCTGCCTCGAGGCTACCTCTGAGTTCAGAAAACCTTTGCTCATACTGGGCTGTAACACGGGCTACCTTTTGGTTTGCTCTCTGCTCAGCTTCCAGTGCAACTGCATTTGCAGCGTTCTTCAACTTTGCGTTTGCGTCGCTAAGTTCCTGTCTCAGCTTTGTGACCTCATACTCAGTGGCCGTTTGGGACACTGCATACTCTGACACTAGGTGTTCATGTCTACGATCAGCTTCTGCACGTTGCTGGGCGATTTCGCTAAGGCAAATTCCCTCAAACTCTTGGTACAGTTGCTGGACCTTTTGTTCCATGAGATGTGTGTGCCTCTCCTCTGCCTCTTGTCTGAAAGCATCAATGTTACCTTCATTTATGTAGGTAAGATTGTTCTGCACAAACTGGAAGTACGCCTGGACGGGCGACATGGGCGTGGGAGTTGTCCCAGCCGTCACAGGTTGACCTCCAGTTGCAGTTGTAGCCAAAGTACCTGTAGCAGGACGAGAGCACCTCCACCTGTAGCGTCGTGCGATTTGTCCATGGCTTTAGAGACTACGGCTGATAACCTGTATTTGCAGGTTTCAGCAGGGGATGTTACTTATCCCAACTAGACTGATAAACCTATGGGGCAAAACAATAACAACCGTTAAGCACCGCGGCCCAACCCTTTTTGACTGAGCCGCACAGCTGTCATACATAGCTATATTACAGTATGTTTTACATGGGGTGCAAATACAATCTCAAATCAACTCCCATACAAAGTGGTCTCAAATGTCCGATCTTTCTCAGATGACAACGTTGCTCTAGCAGAAACTGGTACATCGTAAAAGTCGTAAAGTACAGCATCGAGTGCTTTTATGAGTTCCAAACATTCAGGACATGATCCCACCCTGTCGATTTAGTCCCGGATTAGTCTAGAGTCTAAAGTCTAAAGTAATCGCTCAAAGTTCCACGAGATACTTCGCGAGAGGCGGGATATATGAGATATCGTCATATCGACCTTGTAAGGGCACCCAACAGATTGATTCATTTGAATGGTGATGCCATTCCACCTGACTCGGAACATGGACCTCGCAAGAGAATCTAAAGCCTTTCCTCCATGGAAAAGATTCGAAAACGAAGTCGCACCCCGTCCGCCTGAAGGGCGTAAGCTCCTTCTGAGCCCTTACCACCACGCTGGCGCGTCCACTGGTGCACGCCCTGGGCATCGAATTTCATGAGGAACATGTCAGACCAGCCCGCGTTGGTGTTGCCATTCAGGGAGCTTGATGTTTCGCCAGCCACCCAGGCATGGCCAACATTGTCCACCTGCGCCAACTGGTCAGCATCACACCACATAGTCAACTGATGTCAAATGCATGTCTCACTGTATCAGGACATGACCGAGAAATCCAGTGAATTCGAATGAAAACAACTCAACTCAGATAAAGTGGTCTCTAATTTCACATCTTTGTCGGCTGACAATGCTGTTTTAGCTTCGACTTGCACATCTTACAGTTTAAGGTACAAAGAGTTTTGATGAGATTTGCATAAGGTGGTTCTGTCCGTGTCCTGTGCTCGCTTGCAAGGTTAAGTTTCAGTCGGAAAACTGTCTGTCAACAGTTCTCATCAAATCTCATAAATCATCAGTCAGTAAGCCAGTATATCATGTAACTTAAATAAACATGCGTAAACAATGGGAAACATGTGAATGAATCAAATATTCATCTTCTAGTGCGTTACACGCATGTGTAGGTATGCTATGTCATATACTAGACTTTGAATAATCTTTTTGTAGATATACTGGACCATGTACCAACCGCATCCAACCTCTGTCAAGGTGAGAGACTTACTAAGGAAAGTGCATCGATCGATTCAAAAAAAAACAGTTCTCGAAGCCCTCGGGGTATCACCTTTTGAAAGGCACAAAGATTAATATTGATCCGCACACTGTGATGCCATTCCACCTGACTCGGAACATGGACCTCGCAAGAGAATCTAAAGCCTTTCCTGCATGGAAAAGATTCGAAAACGAAGTCGCACCCCGTCCGCCTGAAGGGCGTAAGCTCTTTCTGAGCCCTTACCACCACGCTGGCGCGTCCACTGGTGCACGCCCTGGGCATCGAATTTCATGAGGAACATGTCAGACCAGCCCGCGTTGGTGTTGCCATTCAGGGAGCTTGATGTTTCGCCAGCCACCCAGGCATGGCCAACATTGTCCACCTGTGCAAAGGTAGACAGTTGAGCTTTGCAGTGCTCCACAGATGCGCATGGAACTTGAAAGAAATCCAAGAAACCCACACAGATCGAAGATGACACTAAGTCACTAAATCAACAACTGCGTGCGACTGTATCAGGATGTGACCCAGGATTCCCGTGAACTCAAATAAGAACAGCTCACTTAAGTTTCCACAAAGTGGTCTCAAAGTGGTCTCATATTTAAGTTCTTTCGTAGACTGACGCCGCTCCAGACGAGACTTGCCCATCTTGAGGTACAAAGAGTTTTGATAAGTTTTGCATGTATCAGAGATTATCAGATTATCCTTTAAAGATTTGTAAACGGCAAATACTCAAGACATCTAGGTTTGAAACGCGCACGTCACTGTGTACATTCTATATACCATGTAAGAAACGAACCCACCGGTGTGAAAGCAATTAAGAGATTCTCAAGAGGACATGGGCTTGATACTGGTACGTTTGCTTGCGGGCGCATAAACGTTGGGTCCCAAGTCACTCTCGTGACCATCTATCTTTGCCAGGAAAGGTCGATAGGATTTTCATGAGTTCCACACATTCCAGACACGATCCCACCCTGTCGATTTAGTCCCGGATTAGTCTAGAGTCTAAAGTCTAAAGTAATCGCTCAAAGTTCCACGAGATACTTCGCGAGATGCGGGATATATGAGATATCGTGAATTATCGTGATATCGACCTTGTAAGGGCACCCAACAGATTGGTCAATTTGAATGTGATGCCATTCCACCTGACTCGGAACATGGGACCTCGCAAGAGAATCTAAAGCTTTTCCTCAATGGAAAAGATTCGAAAACAACTTCGCACCCCGTCCGCCTGCAGAGCCTGAGCATAGTCAAAGCCTTCCCCACCGCGCTGGCGCGTCCACTGGTGCACGCCCTGGGCATCGAATTTCATGAGGAAAATGTCCCGCCTGCCCGCGTTGGTGTTGCCATCCAGGGAGCCAAACGCGGAGCCTGCCACCCAGGCATTGCCAACGTCGTCCACCTGCGCAAAGATAGACAGTTGAGCTTTGCAGTACGCCGCAGATGCGCGTGGAAATTGAAAGAAAAACTGAGGGAGAAAGCCCATCAGACAGGGAAAAAATGAAGTGAAGATCAATGATAACGCCAAATCATTGCAAACGCAAAAACTATGAGAACATATGAAAAAACATGGAAAACCTCCATGCCCCATTGTGTCAGGATGAAAACCATTTTAAACCAAGAAATCTGAAAATCAACTCCCATATACTTTCAACACATACAAAGTGGTCTCAAGTGTCCGATCTTTCCTGGCATGACAACGCTCTAGCAGAAACTTGTACATCGTAAAGTGCAGCATCTAGTGCTTTTATGAGCTCCAAGTTCCAAGCATTCAAAGCATGATCCCACTCTGTCGATTTAGTCTAAATTCATCGCTCAGACTTCCATGAGACAGTTGCGAGATACGGGATATCAGCCCTTGTAAAGTAACCCAAGAGATTGATCCATTTAAATGGTGATGCCACTCCACATGACTCCGAACATCGACCCCCCTAAAGAGTTCTGAAGCTTTGCTCCGTGGAAAATGTCACAAGATATCGCAAGAAAAGCAACGTCGCACCCAATCTGCCTCCAGGGCATTGGCATCCCAAGTGTCCTCCCGCTGGCGCGTCCACTGGTGCACGCCCCGGACATCGAATTTCATCAGGAAGATGTCAGCTCCGCCCGCGTTGGTGTGCCCATCCAGGGAGCTAGACGTGCGGCCAGCCACCCAGGCATTGCCAACGTTGTCCACCTGCGCAAAGATAGACAATTTAGCTTTGCAGTGCGCCGCTGATGCGCGTGGAAATTGAAAGAAACCCCAAAAAAACGACCGGATAATGAGGCGAAGGACTGGAAAAAGTGAAACCAAGATTGAAAGATGACACAAAATTGACAACTGCATTCCCCGCGGTATCAGGACGAGACCAATTTAACTCAAACAGTTTCAACTCAGACAAGGGCGGTCTGCTCATCTCCAATGTTTGTTTCAGTTCGGACATAGATTCTCCAATAGGTCTCAGCAGACCTAATCATATCTTATGACTAAATCGTGAAACCACCTAAATGATCCTAAATGACCAATGATCAACAGTTTGAACCTTTATATAATATTATATAACCTAAAACATGCATGTACACATTTGCCGAACGGAACCAACCAGCGCAGGTCAGAAGTTCTCGAGGGGCGTGGTTTGGAACTGTTCGAAAGTGCTCTGCTAGCAATGTCTCGGCTTGCAAGCCATTACGGTTTTCATGAGCTCAAGACATCAAGACATGGTTGACATGATGGCAATCTATCGGCTTAGTCAAACTTTATAGCTCAGAAGACAAATGAGCTCCAAACTGCCCTGTCAATTCAGATGATTCAAAGTTTTGTTCCACGCTTCCATCCACCTGAAGTGCGAAAGCCTTATCATCTCTCTCACCACCGCGTTGGCGTGTCCACTGGT